TAGTAGTACGACGACGACGACGACTACTACTACTACTACGACGACTACGACTCGCTGCTAAGACTACGACTACTATTTCTAATTCCTACCATCACTCCCATCACCATTATCATTGCTACCTCTACTAGCGACCTATCGTAACACGTACTAAAAAAAACTTCCCATCTAAATAGTACTGGTTTGAACAAACATAAGTCGTCCATCACCATCACACTAAACCCAGCAAATGTAATGGTACTGTACTTGTATGCGAACACGATCCTATTGGTATGATCAACTGCGAAAACTCTAACATTAAGTTTGTACGTCAATGATACATCCCATCTTAATAAAATAGCAATACTAGACTAACAATCGGCATCATACGTACAATAACCTCGACCGAATGTCGAATCCTGAATAAGGGGGTTCCCCCTGTATTGATCTCCGTTCTGGTCAATTTTCAAAAAGCGTTCGCCGCCGCACCGTCGGCTTTGCTTGGCTGGCGCGGCGTATCCATGTATCTACATCTATCCCCCCAGGCGCCGTCGCACCGATACGTCTGCGCATCTTCTGTCCGTCTATCTGCCCATCCCCCGGGCGCCGTCGCACCCTCGGCGCGGCTTGACTGGCGGGGGGCGTCTATCCATTGGTGGCGGCCCACTTCTTCCAGTTACCCAAACGGAGGGAAATGGAAATGCTGCTAAGACCTGCCAAGGTTTACATGGCCGCCTCTTGGGCCTCGAGAGTGAATATTTACATTGGGGTTTGATCATTGAGTTTTCAACTTAACATGGCCTCCGATTGTCTAAAACCAATGCAGGATGCATCGCGCGCGCGCGGGTGGCCCGGCCCCGCGCGGGTCGCCAGCGCGCCCGCGCTCGCCTCGCATATTGCATTGTGTTTTCTATATATGACGCTGGCATGGCCGCCTCTTGGGCCCAGAGAATGAATATTTACATTGGGTTTTGATCATTGAGTTTTCAACTTAACATGGCCTCCGATTCTATAAAACCAATGCAGGAGGCATCGCGCGCGCGCGTGCTGGTTGAAATCCTGAAACACGGCACCGCGCGGAGACCAGCGCGCCACCGCGCGCCTCGCATTTGTGTTGTGTTTTCTATATTCGAACGTTGCATGGCCGCCTCCCCCCCCCTCTTTTTTTTTTTTTTGGGGCCCGAGAGTGAAGTTTTACATTGGGTTTGATCATTGGGAGTTTTCCAACTTAACATGGCTTCCCGATTGTCATACATATTCAAGGAAGGCATCGCGCGCGGCGCGCGGGTGACCCGTCACCGCGCGGGTCACCAGCGCGCCCGCGCGCTTCGCATATTGTATTGGTTTGTATATTTCCCACATTTATATGGCCGCCTCTTGGGCCCAGAGAATCAATTTTTACATTGGGTTTGGACAATTGAGTTTTCATCTTAACATGGCCTCCGATTGTATAACACCAATACAGGATGCATCGCGCGCGCGCGCGGGTGACCCGGCCCCGCGCGGGTCACCAGCGCGCCCGCGCTCGCCTCGCCCATTGTATTGTGGTTTCTATATTTGACGTGGGCATGGCCGCCTCTTGGGCCCAGATCGTGAATATTTACATTGGGTTTTGATCATTGAGTTTTCAACTTAACATGGCCTCCGATTGTATAAAACCAAAACAGGAGGCATCGCGCACGCGCGCGGGTGACCCGGCCCCGCGCTGGTCACCAGCGCGCCCGCGCTCGCCTCGCATATTCTATTGTGTTTTCTATGTTTGACGTTGGCATGGCCGCCTCTTGGGCCCAGAGAATGAATATTTACATTGGGTTTTGATCATTGAGTTTTCAACTTAACATGGCCTCCGACTGTATAGAACCAATACAGGAGGCATCGCGCGCGCGCGGGTGACCCGGCACCGCGCGGGTCACCAGCGCGCCCGCGCGCTTCGCATATTGTATTGGTTTGTATATTATTTGACGTTGGCATGGCCGCCTCTTGGGCCCAGAGAATGAATATTTACATTGGGTTTTGATCATTGAGTTTTCAACTTAACGTGGCCTCCGATTGTATAAAACCAATACAGGAGGCATCGCGCGCGCGCGGGTGACCCGGCGCCGCGCGGGTCACCAGTGCGCCCGCGCGCTTCGCATGTTGTATTGGTTTGTATATTTCCCACATTTATATGGCCGCCTCTTGGGCCCAGAGAATGAATTTTTACATTGGGTTAGGACAATTGAGTTTTCACTCTAACATGGCCTCCGATTGCATAAAACCAATGCAGGATGCATCGCGCGCGCGCGGATGACACGGCCCCGCGCGGGTCGCCAGCGCGCCCGCGCTCGCCTCGCCCATTGTATTGTGTTTTCTATATTTGACGTGGGCATGGCCGCTTCTTGGGCCCAGAGAATGAATATTTACATTGGGTTTTGATCATTGAGTTTTCATATTAACATGGCCTCCGATGGTATAAAACCAATACAGGAGGCATCGCGCACGCGCGCGGGTGACCCGGCACCGCGCGGGTCACCAGCGCGCCCGCGCGCCGTGGATATTGTATTGTGTTTTCTATATTTGACGTTGGCATGGCCGCCTCTTGGGCCCAGAGAATGAGTATTTACATTGGGTTTTGATCATTGCGTTTTCAACTTAACATGGCCTCCGACTGTATAGAACCAATACAGGAGGCATCGCGCGCGCGCGCGGGTGACCCGGCACCGCGCTGGTCACCAGCGCGCCCGCGCGCTTCGCATATTGTATTGGTTTGTATATTTTCCACATTTATATGGCCGCCTCTTGGGCCCAGAGAAGGAATTTTTACATTGGGTTTCGACAATTGAGTTTTCACCTTAACATGGCCTCCGATGGAATACAACGAATACAGGATGCATCGCGCGCGCGGGTGACCCTGCCCCGCGCGGGTCACCAGCGCGCGCGCGCCTCGCATATTGTATTGGTTGTATATATTCCACGCTTATGTGGCAGCCTCTTGGGCCCAGATAGTGAATATTTACATTGGGTTTTGACCATTGAGTTTTGAACTTAACATGGCCTCCGATGGTATAAAACAATTACACGATGCATCGGGAGCCCCGTGACCACGTGGAGCCGTTTTGGGGCGGTCTTGGAGCGTCTTGTACGCATGTTGGGAGCTATATTGAGTCATCGAGGGCTATCTTGAGCGATCTTGGAGGTCACCTTGAGCTCTCTTGGGCCCTCTTGGCGCCATCTTAGGCCATCTTCGGTGACCCAACGACCCGCGAAACGCCCCTTCCAGGCCCAGGGGGAGGGGGTAGGGGGAGGGGTAAACCCCTCCCCCAAGGGGAAGAAGGGGGTTGAGGACAGAGAGGGCTCTTTAAACCACTCACGCCCAAAGGGCTGGTGGGATTTTTATATTGTGTTTTGGCCATTGCGTGCGCTGCAGAGATGTGTGTGCATGGTGAAGGCCACGTTGGCTTTTCTCGGGCCGACGTCTCCATGTTGCGACGACGTCTCAGGCGAAACGGCCCCAAGCGGCCCTGCAAAGGCACCAAGGGTGAAGCAGAATGGCTTCCCCATCCTTCCCACAGTCTATCTTAGGAGTTCCCCGGAAACAAACGAACTGTCTATCTGTCGCGGCCTCGCCGGTCGCTGTCGCACCGTCGGCGAACGTGCTTGGTTACGTATTGTGCATCTGTCTGGCCACCCGCCGTCGCCGTCACACCGAACAAATTGCGCGCCACACATGGTTGAACTTCACTGTCCACGGCGCGCCCATCGCACATCGCACAACTGTTTACAATAACTTCTTAATAGTTCCGTGCGGCGGACAGATCGTTTTTGCGCATCTGTCCCCGACGGACCCGTCGCCGCCGCATCGGGGTGATCATCGTTGGGGGAACCCCCTCATGAAATCTGACTCAACATGTTATTGCTAAAGAATTGGACCCTCATTCTGACCTGGTCTGCGATCCGCGTTACGATGCGGGCTTTTGAAGGTCTTGAAGAGAGGCATAGGAAAAGGAAGAGGAGGAAGAGGGCATTCTGCGCCAGCGCTTGTCGAGCCGGGTCGTGTTGGGGAGGGGTGCTCTAGAGACGGGGGTCAATGCGAACGGGGGTCAGTCAGAGTGCCGGATTTTGCAGGATCCTGCAGAGCCAGGGGCGCATTGACCCAGGCTTGGGCGCGGGATCCTGCAGGATGTTGCAGGACCTTGCAGGGTGCTGCAAAGCCCCGTTGGCCCGGGTCTGGATTGATCCTGCTCAGTAGAGCCCCGAGGGGGCGGGCGAGGCTTCGGGGGCCAACGCGGCCAACGCTTGGGGCCGCTTGGCCCTTCGCCGGAGTGGCCATTATGTGCGCGGCCTTCGGGTGGCGCTGCGGGGCCAAGCCCAAGCCCAAGCACGCAGGCTGGTGCTGTCGCGCTGCACGCAGCGGCTGGGAAGCCGCGCGCCAAGGTCACTCATGCACAGGGTCACGCTCACATGTGGCCGACACTGGGGCCTCCTCTGGGGTTCGTGAGAGGCCCTCGGGAGCTCTCAGGTCAGAGCGCGCAGCGGCGGCCCCGAAGGAGCCTCTCTCCGTCGTCACGAAGTCAGGCCCCATCGTTCGTTCGGGCATGCTCTTGGTTTGCAGTGCGTTGCGCCTCCGTCTGTTTGGCTCGTCGTTCTCTCTCTGGCTGCCTGTCCCGTGCTGCACCCCTTTGCCCCCACGCTGCACCTCCTTGCCGAGTCAGGTTCTTCTGCTTGAGCTACGCAGTCACCCACTTCATATTCGCCTGCGTGTATTTCACGATCGACGATAGCTGCGATCTGCGGATCAAGTCGCTCCTCGACGCTTTCTATTCAGAGCGCTTCGCCCAAACCGCGCCCCGGCCTGCACGCCAGCACTCCTCTCTTCCCTTTTGGTTCTCCTCGAACTTCGTCCCCCCAACCACCACCACCGCACCCTTGAACGGATGCCCACCCAGCTCGTCTCCTCCTCCCCCTCCTCCTTCTCTTGTTCCCCCCCTCCAGTCTCTCCTTTTTCCCGGCCTGGCCCGTTCCGCCAACCCTTCTCCTCTGAGCCTGGCGATCCACGCCCGCGCGCGGGAGGGGGCGGAAGAAGCAGAGTGAGAGAATCGCAGAAGGAACGATACGGGGTGAAGAGGGAGACCTTGGATGAGGAGGAGGGGGGGGGAGGTGGAGGAGGTGAAGCAGGGGGAGTAGGAGGGGGAGTAGGCGCTGGATGATGATGATGATGATGATGATGATGATGATGATGATGATCGATGCTGATGATACTGATGCTTATGCTGATACTTATGCTGATGGCGCTGATGCTGATGCTGATGATGCTGCTGATAATGATGATAATGGTGATGCTGATGCTGATGCTGATGCTGATGATGCTGTTGTTGATGCTGCTGATGATGATGTTGATTACGCTGATGATGACGATGATGATTTTGATGTTGATGATGCTGATTATGCTGATGATGAGGATGATGATGGTGCTGCTGCTGCTGCTCAGATTGATGATGATGACGGTAGTGATGATGCTGGTGATGGTGGTGATGTTGATGTTGTTGATGGGGCTGATGATTCTGATGCTGATGCTGCTGTTGCTGATGATGCTTCTGTTTATGATGCTCATGAGGATGATGATGCTGATGACGATGATGATGCTGATGATGGTGATGATGATGCTGGTGATGATGATGAGGATGATGATGATGATGCGGCTGATGATGCTAAGTATGATGCTGATGCTGATGCTCATGATGATGCTGATGATGATGCTGAGCCTGATGATTTTGATGCTGTTGATAATGATGATGTTGATGCTGATGACGATGATTATGACGATGCTGATGCTCATGATGGTGATGTTGCTGCTGATGATGCTTGTGATGATTCAGATGATGCTGATGATGATGATGTTCATGCTGATGGTAATGATGATGATGATGATGATGATGATGATGATGATGATGATGCAAATGATGATAACGGTGATGACGCTGATGATGATGCTGATGTTGATAAGGTTCATGATGAGTATGATGATGATGGTGGTGATTATGATGGTGGTGATGACGATGATGAGGACGATGTTGCTACTGATGATTCTGATTGTGACGATGATCATGGCGATGATGATGATGCCCATGATGATGCTGATGATGATGATGGTGATGAAGGTTATGATGATGATGATGGTGATGAAGATGATGCTGATGCTGCTGATGATGATTATGAGTATGATTAGGATGATGATGATGATGATGATGATGATGATGATGTTGCTGATAGTGATGATGCGAATGATGATGATGATGATGATGGTGATGAAGATGATGATGGTGATGAGGATAATGATGAGGATGATGCTGCTGATGATGAGTATGATCATGCCTATGATGATGAGTATGGTGATGATGCTGATGATGATGATGATGATGGTGCTGATGATGATGCCAGTGATGATGATGAGGAGAAGGAGGAGGAGGATGAGAATGAAGAGATGATGTTGCTGATGATGATGCTGATGATGAGGATTCTGCTGCTGCTGATGATGATGAGGATGAGGATGATGATGATGATGATGATGATGATGATGATGGTGATGATGGTGCTGATTATGATTCCGGTGATGATGAGGAGGAGGATGAGGAGGATGATGAGGATGAAGAGACGATGTTGCTGATGATACTGATGATGAGGATGATGCTGCTTATGATGATGATAATGAAGATGATGATGATGATGATGATGATGATGATGATGATGATGATGATGATGATGATGATGATGATGATGATGATGATGATGATGATGATGGTGGTGGTGGTGATGATGATGATGATGATGATGCTGATGATGATGATGATGATGAGATGATGATGATGATGATGATGATGATGATGATGATGATGATGATGACTTATGATGAAAGGGGGGAGGAGGAGGAGGGAGGAGGAGGAGGAGGAGGAGAGGAGGAGGAGGAGGAGGAGGAGGAGGAGGAGTTAAAGGAAGGAGGAGGAGGAGGAGGAGGACGAGGAGGAGGAGGAGGACGAGGACGAGGACAAGAGATGAGGGGTACAGGGGGAGGCGGAGGCGGAGGCGGAGGAGCGAGGAGGAGGTGGAGGGATACGCAAGGGCAGAGCGAGGAGGCTGAGGAGGAAGAGGAGGTGGTGGGCTCCCGCTCCCCGTCGACCCCTCGTGGCTGGCGCCGGGCGGCGGCGCCGTGGCCCCGTTGCAGAGGGCGGTCTGGAGCGAGCGCAGCAGCTGCTCCTCCTCCTCCTCCTCCTCCTCCTCCTCCTCCTCCTCCTCCTCGTCCTCCTCCTCCCCCAACCCGTTCTCAGACGTCGACCCCAGGGCCTTTCCTGCGTGCCTTTTTTTTGCTTCTCAAAGGGGGCCTGGTCGTGGCGACGAGGAGCCCCCCCCCTCCACCCAGCGGCCCGACAGGGCAGGGACGAGGCGGGCCCCCACACCTCGAGTTTCGAAGCCTCGGAGCCTCCTCCCTCGTGCTGGAGGGCCCCTCCCCCCCTGCGCGCGGGTGGGGGGGCCGAGCGGGTCTGAGCCTAGAGCTGGGCATGACCGTGGGGTGGGGCATACCAGGCTCGCCGTACTTCAAGGCGCGCCCGAGCTCGCGCGCGTGCTTTCCGTCTGGCCCGGCCTTCCCTGGCCAGCGGGGGTAGAGCTCCGGCAGTGCAGGTTTCCCAAGTGGGGTCCGAGCAGATGGGGACGGAGGATCGCGTCGCATCGCAGACGCATCGGTGATGCGGCTCGATGCGGAGCCCGGTTTTCTCCACGGCGGCTGCGTTGATGCATCGATGACGTCGCCGATGCAGCGGCGATGCGGCGAGATTCTCCGACCCTATCTGCTCGGACCCTATATGGGTGGCCTCCAGGCAGGATGACGAGAATCGAGTTTCAAGGGTCGAGGTGTCTGTTTGCGCTGTTCGTTGTTTTGGTGTGCCTGCGCGGGGTGGCTCTCGTCGCCACGGCTGGGTTACCGTTGAGTTGTTTGTTGTACCCAGACGCACACCAGGAGACATCTGGGGGGTGGGGATCGATTCTTGGTGAGGGTTGAGGCGGAGGAGGAGGAGGAGGAGGAGGAGGAGGAGGAGGAGGAGGGGGGAGGAGGAGGAGGAGGAGGAGGAGGAGGAGGAGGAGTGGGGAGGAGTGGGAGGAGGAGGAGGAGGAGGAGGAGGAGGAGGAGGAGGAGGAGGAGGAGGAGGAGGAGGAGGAGGAGGAGGAGGAGGAGGAGGAGGAGGGAGGAGGAGGAGGAGGAGGAGGAGGAGGAGGAGGAGGAGGATGAATAGGAGGAAGAGGAGGAGGAGGAGGAGGAGGAGGAGGAGGACGCCGAAGAGCTGGGTCCCGAGGGGCAGGAGACCACCGCCTGGGGGATCGGTCGCAATCTTCGAGTTCTTGGGGGGCCGTTTAGATCATACGTTACTGGGCACACCCAGGGGAACGCCCAAACGTCCAGAAGATGTTCTCCTCAGGACCCGCTTCCGTCATGCCAAGAGGGAGAGGACGAGGAGGCGGAGGACGAGGAGAGGACGAGGAACAACGCGACGGTGGCGAGAAGGACGAAGAGAGATAGAGAGAGAGAGAGAGAAGAGAGCGCGGGATAATGGAGTCGAGAGGGGAGGCGAGGAGCGTGGCAGAGAGACGTGCGGGCGTTGCTGACCCTTGTGGGTCTAGTTTCGTGGCTTCAGTACTCCAGATGTGGCTAGACCCTTCCTTGCGAGTCCGTGGTATGTTTCTTGCAGACCATTCGGCGCAGCGTCAGCCCTGCTGACCCGCGGCTCGCGTCTTGTCCATCGACCGGGCATGGCATCTGCATAGTTGCAGTTGTCATGCCACGCGCGGCATCCTGCTTCTCAATGCCGCACCGTTCCTCCTTCGGAGCAGCTAGTCACAGCTGTGCTCATCAGAACTCCTGGTTTGGCTAGCGGCATGCCGTGGGCGCAGCGCTCTGCCCCTCCAGCCGACGATTGTCTGCCGTTCCTTGCTGGTGGCTTGCACAGCGCCGCCGCTCTTGGTTTCAGGGTGTTACGTTTGTTCCATTATATCATGTTTGACGCGCTGCTGTGCCGAAGAGCCTGGCCGCGCCCGAACGCCCCCCTCTTCCTCCTCCCTTCTGCTCTTCGGTCATAGTCATTATCCCCCCCGCCCTTCTCGCCTATCTCCTTACTCCTGATACTCAGAGCGTGAATTACCTACCCCGCTTTCGCTTCCAGGCAAAACCAAGTCATACCACGCGCCTCCTCGTCAAGCGGCCTGACCAGCAAAAACCGTAGTTTGGCATCGCTTGGTATCTCTTGGAAGCGACGGTGGTCAAACACGAGGTAGGTTTGGTTTGCCCCCTAGATACCCCCCGCCTCCCACCTCGTTTCCCCCTCCATCATCCAAACTTTCTTTTCCCCCTGCACATCATCATTCAGCTCTTCCACCCTCCTCCACCCCCTGCCTGTTCCCCCAGGCCGCTACGTGCTCCCCCTTCTCCCCCCCTTCGCCTCCTCCTCCCCTGTTCCTGCCTCCTGCCTCCTCCTCCTCCTCCTCCTCAGCTGCCATCTGGACCCAAGAGATTGTCAGGGCAGCAGACAAACACTCACCGCCATTCCACAGCATGTGGAGTAAGAACTAACTGGGCAGAGGCCCGCATGGCGGCAACGGCATGGACAGCGTCGTTGGCCCTGCTGCTATTCAACCCGCTCTCCGCGAAGCCCGACAGGCAGCAGGAAATCATCGAGGAAGCGGCCAACTTCGACGTCATCATCTTCGCAGATACTCAACGATGGCGCCGAGAACTTCATCCCGAACAGCGTCGAATTCAGGGAGCCAGAGTGTACGACGCAGGCTGGAGGACGGGAACACTCACCAACCGCAGCACGGGCATGATGATAGCGCTCCAGGGCAAACTAAGAGGAGCGCAGGTGATCAATGTTCTGGAGCCTCCAGGGGAACTTTGCGGCAGAGGCCTCGCACTTCAACTCGTACAGTACGACACCCAGATCACGATCGTCAGCTACTATTGCCCGCCGCAGCCCAAGACCACGGCAGACCGCACGCAGTACTTCGCGACGGTGGCAAGATTATTCAAATGGATGGACGAGGTAGCAGCCAAACGCCCCAGGGGCAGCCTCCTCTTCACGGCAGGGGACCTCGACGACGGCATAGGCATCACGTGCAAGAGCGAACACCCGAAGAGCGACTCGATTGGAGCGGGCAGGGCGAAGGAGAAACTGCCAGGCGGAGCGGGGCACAAAGCCAGACAGTACGCGGAGCGACACGGACTGACAGTCACCAACACGACGGGCACATGGAGACCCACTTTTTTTCGGGGAAACGACGGCCAGCTGTATAGACTACATCATGATGCCGACGACACTGGCCAACAGCATCATCTCTCAAGGACCACTCCTCCGCATGGGCGCACGGCTGCAACGCATTCGTAGCCGACGACATCGAGATCACGTCCCAGTGCAGCTCACAGTTCGTATTCCACTTCGGCAAAGAGTACAAGCCCGACAACATACAGCACGATGGGGTAAAGACAAACTGGCAGCGGCAGCACGCAAGGGACTACACGCAGAGTTATTCATCCAGGATCTGGAAGGAAAAGTCGCGAACTACAACGAGCACGGCAAAGGCACAGACCAGCTGTTCCAGGACTTGAATCAGATGATCATCGAAACGGCCCAACAGTATTATGGACAGGGACAACAGAAACCTGAGGAGTACCAGATACTACGGGACAGACGAATGGAACTATTAAAAAGACGAGGAGACCTTCGAGAGCAACTACGACGCGAAGGAGATAGCCTACTCATCACGATCGCAGACTCGACCAAGCTGGACACAGCCAAGGTAGACTACATTCCAAGGGAAAATCCGACCAACAACCCCTACGCGCAGAACTCAGACCAGCCAGGAGCAGAAGACGAACTCGATTCCCGCCGCCTACGACTGGACTACGTCGAGACCGAACTCAAGAACATCACTGCTACCTGCGCAGCCTGGCGCAAACTCGAGTACCAGCGGAAGACGGACGCCAGGGTGGAGGAGCTGTGCGAGGCATGGGAACGCCGAGATCTTGCACGAGTGGGCCGACTGTCACGATTGATTGCTGGCGGAAGATATGGGCCACGCAAGCGCGACTACTGGACGATGGTCACAGCCAACCCCACGAAGCAAGAGTGGACCGATTTCTGGCAGCTCCCAGGTGGATCAGGAGGCATGGAAGGCACAGAACTGAATAGAGAAGAAATTGAACATATTCCCATTGACGCAGATGAAATGGACTATTATGATAACGACATAGAAGAACTTGTGGAGAAAGATATGGAGGGCATTGCTAAACGGTTAAAAAAGGCTAAACTCCGACGTGCGGCACCACCGACAGCGGCCCCCAACGAGCTATGGAGAGTGCTCCTTTGTCAGACAGACGAACAACCTCAACGGCAAAGACAAGGATTGGGGGCACTCCAACCACTTCCTCAGCCAGAAGGATTTCAAGACCTCTTCAGGGCGGCACTGGCGGTCATCAGACTCAAGAGCGCAACTCCAGTACGATGGCATCAGAGCGCGGCAACAGCAGTCAAGAAGAACAACAAAGCGGGCCCTGCAGGAAAAAGGATATACCACATCATGGACCCGATCGGCAAGGCATTTTACTCATCCTGCATGGCTCGACAGAAGGCTCAGACTCACACTGACCAGGACTACGGCTTCATTAGAGGGCGACGACGCGAAGGGGCCATATTGGCGATGGCGGTCGTCGAGTATCGGGCAAGACAGGCAGGCTTCAATTACATCACGACGATGAAGGACATGTCGAACGCATTTGTCAGCTGCGCGTGGGCAGCCGTGGACGAGGCCAACAGCAAGACCAGCCAGAAGACTCTACTGAGTTGGGGGCGCAGCGATACCGACGAGCTACGTTTGTCATACCATGTCGCGATCAGGAGGACGGAGTTTGCATCAGGCCACACTGTGGAGGACTGATAGGAGACCCGTACATGGTCAGTAACTTCGTGGCCAGCTTCTCGACGTGCATCAAGAACTGGATTGAGGACTGCAACAAAGAGCTAAAGAACGGTGATCTGTTGTTTGGGAGCTGCGAGATATTTCAACATCCAGTTTACTTGGGCCTGGCTAAGTATGCGGACGACCTTCGCAAGATCATCCTAGGCGACAAGCGCGCAGATGCAGCAGATCTGGCAGCGCAGGCACACAAAGTGGACAACGCGCTCAACCAGAGGCTCGACGCGATCGGGATGCGCCAGAATGCAGACAAGCAGGAGAACATCGTCTACTTCCAAGGACAAGGAACGACCAAAGCACACCAGCAGCTCAAGACGAAGCCCGATTGCACGCTACCTGGCAAAGTTGTTCCACATGCACGATATCTTGGACCACAGATCAGCCCGACACAGAACTATGGGGCAGAACTCAACAAGCGCATCGCGGCCATGAAAAAGAGTTACAACGAATGTGGCAGCTTCTGGACTAAAGGGCATATACCATTCAGGTGGAAGCGAGCGGTCCTCATCTGCAGGGTGATCAACACAGGC